ATTTTTTGGTACTGCTCACTTCACCAACAATCATTTTATCAAAAAGCTATTGGTAAAATAATTGTCGATGAAGTAAAGCAGATTCATATTTTTTAGAAGTTGCACATGAATTATTAAAACAAAAAAAATCATCAGATCCATATATTCGTTCAGTTAGTAAGTAATTAATATTAAGTTAAATTATTTAAATTATAACTAATCAAATTGTTTAATTTAGGGTTTCTCAATAGTAGTCAATATCTTGTAATCATTATATGTTGAGATCAATATGGCATTCAAAAGAATTTATGATGTGGCAAATGAGTAGGAAATTTGTGCATACGTTCATCATTATCAAAAAGGTAAAATTACCATTATTATATATTAAATTAATAAGTAATATAGTATACATTTTAATTATATGTATATATGTTTTTATAGCTCGGGTTTTTACACGAGTTTATACAAATTTTCAATCAGCTAAAGCGTATCAATATTTATTCAAGGATTTGTTTGATACTGTTAAAAATGATACGCACAAGCCATTTGAATTTCAGCACATTCATGGTCGTGGATTAGGCTGTATAATTGCAGATGAACATCAAGGGCAAGCACTTGGTAAATATAGTGTTAATTTTTAGTTGAAATTTATTTTGCAGATACTGCACAATTCTGCAAATTGCACTACTCACAAAATATTAATTTTGTCTGCGTGGTATCTGCATATCTGTTCAAGTACAAAATTTTGTTTCTGTGTGCTGCGTACAGTCTGTATAGTAAAAAAATAATTGCCAAATATTGATATACATGTTATATTTTTTATTTTTTTTATTTAAATAGGTCTCAGGCAATATTTGCATTTGAAGTATAGTTATTTATTGTGCGAAGAACACTTAAAACATATTTATAAATTATGACAAGTTCATTTCAATCGGCAAGTAATTTATAATTAAAAATTATTTTATATATTTATTAAATTAATACTACATTTATTATATGTAGCAATATTCAGAATAAGGCTGTTTCTAACAAAATGAAAGAATTAATGTATTTTATTACTAAATTAAATACACAAGAGGAAATATTGAATGTATCAGAAAAAATCATGAAATCTAATAAACTGGGGGCAGCAGGTTTTTTTTTTATGATTATATTATTTTTCTAAAGCAAATTCTATATAGTATTTACTGATTTAAATTTAAAAATAGAGTGGGTCAATGATAAATATAAACCATGGATATTGGCTGGACTTTCATCTGCATTTACTTAAATGAATGCTGATATTTGGAATCAAACGCCAAATAATACTAATGTTAGTGAATTGGCACATGCAAATATAAATTATGATAGTCAATTTTTATCTTTATTAGCAGCAATATCCTGGTATGTATTTTAAGTGAAATTACAAATCCTTGTTGCTATTCATGGTTAGATAAAAAATAAGAAAGGAATTGATACGATATATAATTAATAGAAAGATTGAAAATCGATAGTGTTTTTTTTTTGTTGCCTGACTTTAGTTTGGTTTTTTCTGGTACTCCTGCTTCCTAGAAAAAAAAATTAAAAGTAAGGTGCTTGAAAACATGCTTGCTAACTTGTAGATGGTTTTGCTTAGCAACATGCTTCACAATGCTTATGTATTGTGATGTGGATTAATATATTTGGAGGAAAGATTATTTAGAAATTAAAACTATAGAAGGATCATAAAAAAGGAAAGAAGTAGTTGGGAACTTCCTTATCAATATAGATGGTTCACTTGGTAACCTACTCTCTGATACTCACACATATTAGTGAAAAAAAAAGAAAAAGAGAGAAAAGAACTGTCATGGTATATTATGCACATACCCGATTCTCTTCTTTTTACCACATGATCTTAGCAAATAGCTTAGTCAAAGTGTGTATATATAAATATAAATAGTTTAAGCAATTCTGTAAAGTATGAAATTAAATAATGGGCCAAATAAAGTTAGAGCTGCAGCATGGCACAACTTCCATTGTATATTTTCATTAATTCAATATATAAATTGATATTAATCTGATACATAATTTAAAATTTTTTTTTTAATTTTATAGGGAAAACAATTTCGATCAATATCAATGGAATTCAGCAAAAATGTATGAAAAGTATAACATGCATGAATTATATAGAAATAAATTTGAATTGGCCCGATTGACAAATAATTCAAAAAAAACCGTAAGTGTAATTTTTTTTTTTAATAATTTATATAATTCAATTTAACGGTTGATATGCTATTTAGAAAAATGAAAAAATAAAGGTAAAGAATCCGTCTCAAGGTCCTTATCACAAAAAAACGTAAAAACTAATCATCAAATAAAAACATGAAGATTTGTCTTTATCTTCTGCATCAACTTTAACCATGGTTTCTACGTCACAAGAACAAGACAATTATATCAAATAGGAAAACAAAAAACTTGAATTACGGCAAAAAACTTAGAAATTCTAAAGGAGGAAATTTTATTGCATGAAAAACTTAATAGTTTAAAACAATCATAATGTTTTTATTTCTAAATGATTTTTTTTTAAAAAAAAATTGGTGGTATAAATATGAAATACCATAAATAAATTTAATGCATTTTGAAATATTTCTACCGCTGTAATTTTATAAAACCAAATTTAATTGCATAAATCTTTAAAAAAAAATATAACATTGATATGTCATGTATCTCACGACAATAATATTGTATTATTATTGTACTATACATGTGACCGAAACTCCTGGATTTTCGGACATAGTTTTAATTTTGGATTTTATCAATTTTCAGCCAGGATGATCATTTCCGAAATTAAATCTTTGGTTGAAAGGCTAATTAAAGTCGAATCTCATTGAAGCCTTTATATGAGGATTAAAATTCTAAACGAAGCATTATATAATAGCTGAAATTTTTAAAAACAGATAACAATAAATAAAATTGAATATTTTAAAATAAATTATTTCATAAATGTTTTGTAATAATTGTTTT